TTAACCCGGCCACAAGACCTGACCGGAAAAATATTCCGTCTTATCTTAAACCTTCTTGTACTAGTTTTACAGTCAAACAACTTCTTGTCTTGATGGCTATAGAGCTACCATTAATTTTATGACGTAACTTATTTCAAATGACTTTGGCACCAAACGTTTTATTCTTGGACTTAAAGTCATCATGTTCTCGCGCTGTTTTTTTGTCTCCGAACTCCAATAAATCACTTCGCAAAAAAACGCTTATGCCAACCAGAAAAAAAAAAACCTTTACGACTTCTAGGATTGAATTTTCACAAAAGAAGTTGATCGGTTTGTTTGGTAGTAGCCCGACAGATGCTTACATGGCGTGGTAACTCAATAAAACTGACGAGGAGCCACCTGAAGGGACTTGCAAAACTGATGTGTTCTGGCGCTGTAACGAGGTTACGTTATATTGAGGTTCTCAGTTTCCCTCATGAGATATTTTACTATAATTCTGGCGAGAAAAATACCGGTTAGTAATGCCAAGGACGTCATTCGAAGTTTCCTTTTGTCATGGGTCCAAGGAATATGGAGAGCGCGAATTAACACAAAAATAAAACGCGCTCATGTTTTTTTTTCTTCTTTCACTTACGAATTATCCCCAATGAACTATCCACTTACTACCTGGGAAAGGCTAGTTGTGCCAAGGTTCTTTTCCACATATTTTAATTACTATTACTGAGTAGCAAAATAATACTCGTTATGCCGTTCCTACGAAACTAACCACTTTCATTAAACATTAAGAACAGTATCGAAAAAGTAGAACATTTGGGGCCGAATATTTGAATAAACGAAGTTTTGTCGATGGTGAACCGCGATCTAAGGACTTCTCCCTGTAATCCCAGTAAACCGAGCTGGCCCGGTTTTCGAGACCTCGCCTCACCCCTGGCGATGTGGTTGTGTGACAAGACAGGCTATCCCGGTTGCTGGGATCTACTGGAATATGAGGAACACTTCGTCTCGATGGGCCTTTAGCACTAGTTGGACACACCCTTTCCGTTGAAACGACGGAAGTTGAGCGTTTTCGTTTTTTGTAACATGAGGTTATTATAAAAAAAGGAGTCGTCTTAGTGCTTAACAGCGAACGGTCAAACAACTTTCAGAGCCACAGCAAAAAAAATTCATAATTGGAGAAAAATGTCGCTCCGTGCTCTTGAAACAATTCAACCCGCAACGCCTAACGACAGTTTTCTTTAAAATTCTACTAAAACCACTTTAGGATATCGAGAGTGTTTTTAAAGTTCTGCCAAATTCTAAGAAATTCTATAAGATTTTTATTTGCTCAGCCATCCGAAGCTCCTTTAGCTTACATGAATTTATGAGCGCTTCTTTTAATTATTACTTTTCCGAACCTGTGATGCTATAAATATTTAATGGTTTACTGAAACAGGCTTAACATTTTGCTATTTCCAAAGCCAAAAATTTAAGGGGTCCATTTTGTCGACTTACCGGTATAATGATCAAGTCTGGGAAGAGAAATATGAAAAACCCAAGTTCTCAACTCTGAGATGGATGAGACAGTCATTTGTAAATATTTTTAGCCTTTCTCGACCTGAAGAATCTTCTGAAAGTCCGCTGAATATATTAAACTGCAGTCTAATAAGTAGGGCTTGGTTAAATATTCGGTTCTTAAACATTTATCAGCTAGTATATCTGTCACCCTCTTAAACGGAAAGTTTCAAGCAATTAAAAAATTGTAATAAAAACTTAACTACGTAATACTGCAGTTATAACTTTTTGTTTCATTTTGTTGAGCTGTTTTACTTCTTTTAAATAACTAACCTTTCACAAAATGCTTTGCCAGATGGCTACTGACGAAGCGCAAATATCTGGAAAATGTCCTTTTAGGCTTGAATATCTACATTCAATTGACAGTTAAAAATTGTCGATGAATTGTGCCTTTGAAGTTCGTCTTTCAATCAGCCCACAACACTGAATGGAACCTTATTTGATCGACACATATAATGATTATAACTTCGATCCCCGCAGTCTACCATCCCAGCTGCCATTCGAACAACAATAGAACGAACACAAGCTGCATCTTTAAATTATTCAAATTTTATTCAAAATAATTACTTGCAAATGCCATTCATATCAGTCAGACTCTTTATTTTGTTCTTCTAAGCAGAGCATTAATGACTGCAAGCATCTTAGTTGGGACATGCTTTTAAAAACGCGTTCTTCAACAACACTGAGTTTCAAACCATTTTAATAAGGTCAGCCTTAAGCAAGTCTGACAAGCTGTACACAAATGTCATTGACCACAAGACTGAGGAAAAAAAAAGAAGAATTTTGATATTCTTTTCGTAAAAATTGGCGTGTCTGAATAACGCTTTTAAGGTAACCTTTATATAGAGAGAAAACCTTTTACATAAAAACCCATAAAATGACAATAAATCGACCCGTGGACAACACAGGAGAGACGTAACACACATTTTAAGTAAGGTAAGCTGTTTTTCATTGAAACCCTTTCATTTTCGTAGGTTACAGAAACGATAGGTTTTTTTCCCATACAAATCCTTATATTTCGAATGCCGACGCTCGCCGATGCTCATATTTCGAGCTTGGGCTACCTGTGGCACTACCTGTGAAAAAATACTCTAACTCGAAAACGAAAAAAGAACTCAAAATTCGCACACGGTTTTTAAAAAAAAACTAGCTGACAGTAAGTCAGCCAAATTTTTGTCAAATTGGTCCAAAGGTTGCCGACTTGGAGTTTAAAACGTACCCTCAACCTGCCCTGATTTTCATTTCGACACTGCCTAGTCTGCTACACAGCCGTTTTTAGTGTCGTCACGCAACGCTCCTGACGAAACTTAAAACGGCTGTGTAGCAGACTAGACACTGCCAGGGGAAAAAGATTTTTGGCGGCGTATTACCCGTGACGAGATTATAACACCAAAACTGTCAATGTCAATGCATACCAGAGAAGGGACAACAATAGTGACACAGCAGAAAAAGGTTTAACTTACCAACGAAACCCGACAACAGATGAACAATTTATTTCAAAGACTCTGCTCTGTTCGATCCTTTCTGTTGTAGAAAATGGATCATTTAGTTTTTTGCGACGGGCAGTTTTCATTTTCGCAACAGACAAGCCAAGCTGAGCCAAGCCCAGTTTTACTCGATACATTTTCTAAAAGTTCGACACTTCCCTGGCAAAATCGACAACATACCGCTTCCTGGAGTTTTTCTTGAAGCTTCTGTCTCTCTACAATTAGACTTTCCAAAAAAAGTCCTTTATTGTCCGATTTTATATGGCGCGGGACCTCTCGGGACTTCGTCGCTCGCTTGGCAGCTTCGCGACCTAAGAAGCTCACTGAAATTCGATTCCGCTGTAGTTTCGATAGGTTCTTCAAAAACTTTGTCATCTTTTCGCCATTTTTCTTGATTGTAGTAGGGGTCCTTGTCGCTCTCTGCTAATTTCGAAGCTTACTCTTTGCAAAACGCGTTTGTCGTCTTGTTTCGTCTTGGAGTCGAGGAGGAAAACGGACTTGCTCTCTCCTGTGTGGCAGGCGCAAAAAGGGGAGGGGGGACCTTTTTCCCTTCCTCCCTATCCCTTATCCCCTACCCCCACCCCTTTCGACGCCTGCTACGCAGGCTAGACTTGCTCTATTTCTTTGGAGGCATTCACTTCCAAAATCCAGGAAAAAACAGTGAGCCTATACTTATAGCTTGGTTCAACAGTGGCTTATGACAGGACTTGTCAACGATCAATTAAAATAATTAGCATAGAAAAACTTTTGCACTCCATAAGTCTGCACAGAAAAAACATTTTTTTCCTCGAATTTTTTTTTTAAAGAAAGCTCTTGATGAGCTCTATGTAATCATCTAAAAATTGTACATTTCGAAAAAAGATGATTTTTTACCCTAAAGC